AGAAACTGGAAGAGAAACAACCTGAAATTCAAGAGAAACAGGAAGAAAAGCAACCTGAATCACAAATGAAACAGGAAGAGAAAACACCTGAAATTCAAGAGAAGCAGGAAGAAAAACAACCTGAATCACAAATGAAACAGGAGAAGAAACAACCTGAGTCACAAAAGAAACAGGGACAGAAACAACCTGGAACTCAAAAGAACCTAGAAGAGAAACAGCTTGAACTCACACAAAAAACAGTGGTGAAGCAACTCAAGGTAGAAGAACAACCAGAACAAAAGCAGCCTGAAGTCCAAGAGAAGAAACAGCCAGAAATTATAAAGAAAAAAGAAGAAAAGCAACCTAAACAAGAGAAGCAAGAAAAGAAGCAACCTGAACCCAAGGAGAAACCAGACAAACAGAAGTCGAAATCTGAAGCAAAACAAAAGAAAGTAGAAGTCGAAGAACAAAAGAAACAACCTGAAACTGAAGAGATACAGAAGGAGAAGCAGCTTGAACTTGAAGAGAAGCAACCCGAAGTCCAAGAGAAACTGCCTGTCGCTTTGGAGAAACCAGAAGAGAAACTACTTGAAGTACAAGACGAACAAGAGAAAAAGCAGCCCAAAATCCAAGAGAAACTAGAACAAGAACAACCTGAGACTCCACAGAAACCAGAAGAGAAACAACTCGAAGTAGAAGAGAAGCAAGAAAAGCCACAGCCCGAAATCCAAGAGAAACAAGATCAAAAACAGGCTGAAATCGCAAAGAAAAAGGAAGAGAAGCAACCGAAACTGCAGGAAAAACAGGAGAAGAAACAGCCCGATGTAAAGGAGAAACAAGAAAAGAAGCTATCCGAACCACAAGAGAAGCAAGCGAAGAAACAGTCTAAAGCTCAAGAGAAGACGACTGACGTCAAATCAGAAGTTAAGTTGGAAGACGAGAAACAGCCAGGAGTTCCGCAAAAAGAAGAGAAGGAGCTCGAAGAGAAGCCTAAGGGAAGTAAAGACAAAAAGAAGGGAAAACAGAAGCAAACCGAGGAATCAAAAGTCAAATCTGACACAGGAGAACCACCCGAGCCCATTAAGAAGGAAGAAAGTGTGACGAAAGCAGACAAAGTACCACTCAATAAAGAGAATAGCAAAGAAGATAACGTTACGAAAATTTCAATCTCAGAGCTAGCCGCAGTGCAGCAGAAGGAAGATACCGCTCAAACGACACAAGTAGAATCAGTCGGAAAAGAACAGACAGTCGCCGAGGAGAAACCTGCTGATGAAACAGTTCGTGAGAAGAAACAAGATTCTCAGATCGAGGAAGCTAATATCCAAGTCCCTGTGGAAGAAAAACCGAAGGCAGGAGATTCCACGAAACCTCCTTTGCTAGATTCCGCTGTCGTTGAAGCACAAATAACCGAGAAGCTGGTGAATGGCAAGATCTTGGAGCAAGAGAAAGCAACTAGGTCTGGAGGAGAAAGCGAACCCGAGTCTCCAAAGGAGGACAAGGCTAAACCCGAGAAGTCGAAACCGAAGGACGACGCAAAAGTGCAGGCGAAATCTGGGAAGCAGAAGCAACCGAAAGAGAAGCCTGAGAGCAAAGCGAAGCCTGCGGCTGAGAAAGAGCCGAAGAAGCAAGAGAAGGAGATCGGTTCTCCCGAAGCGAAGAAGAAACGCGACGGAAAGTCGAAGAAAGACACTCAAGCTGCCAGCCCTGACGAACAGATTTCCAAGTTGGAAGTTAAAGAACCTCCAGTCGAGACTCCTGCGAAGGAAGAAGCGCAACTGGCAGCTCAGACTCCGAAGGAAGACATCCTTCAGCCAGTACCATCAACAAAATCTTGGGCGTCCATCGTCAGCATGAAAGGATCAACAGAGACAACCATTGTTTCCTTAGATAATCTACAGACTAAAGTTGCTAACGTGCAAGAGACAGTAGTCGAAACTCCGAAGGTTGACAAAGTGGAGCAAGCAGTGGAGAACGTAGCGGAAGAGCCTCCTGCAGCCCAGCAGAAGCCGAAGCATCAGAAGAAGAAGGATGCTAGACGAGAAAGGAGCGCAGAGTTAAAAGTATCTTCCCCGGTGACAGTCGAGAAGGAAGTTGCAAAGATTCTTCCAGAGAAGCTCGACGAAGCGAAGATGGACGATGCTAGCAAGGAATGGAACAAGTCGTACGCCCAGGTAGCAGCGTCGAGTCGAAGAACTCCTCCTCAAGGTATGCAGGAGGACATTCTGCTGATCAGACCGATCCCTCTGAAATCTGATGAAATCATCGAGCAGTTGCTCGAAGATAAGGAAGCGCCATTGGAAGAGAAACCAGTTGTCCAAGAAAATGTGCAGGAAACGAAAGAGGAAATTGTGCCTGAAGAGACTTCAATGAAGCCGGTTAAAGTCGAGAAGGAAGCCGTCAAAGAGACGATCACTTCGTGGGCTGACGACGTCGAGAGGGAAGTACAGGAAGAGATCCAAGCGACAAAGTCTTCGAACTTGATCATGGAAGAGGAAGATTCACAGAGAGCGAAGGGTTCGTGGGCTGCCATTGTTGGCAAACACGTTGAACCAACTGCCGCTGCACCTGCAGTTCAGCAGGTTAAACGAGAGCCATCTTCCGAGCAACGTGCAGCTTCGGTTCAAATCTTCGTGGAGGAGGCGCCGGAGCCGGTGCCCATCGAGGAAGTGGTTCAAGTGGACGATCAAGGGTTCATAGAGTTCGTGAACAGGCGGGAGTTGAGATCCAGGCGATCCAGGTCGCGATCTCGCAGCGCCAGGCGAGAGGAGGCGAGGCAATCTTCTGATAAGCCTGTGAACGTTGAAGTCGCCGGCGTGGATCAGAGGAAAGATGGCTCTTTGAGGCCGGATGAAACGAAGAGAGATAAGTCTAGGAAGAAGAGCAAGACTAGAGCAACTGATAACGAAGCGAGTCAGGTGAAGGATGATCAAGGAAAGGGTAAAGGGAAAGGTCAGAAGGAGAAGAATAAGGGGAAACCAGCTGACGTCGAGGATAAAGATGCGAACAAGCTGGAGGATGAGAAAGGGGAGCAGGCTGGTGAGCAGAAAGTTCAGAAACAGCCGGAGAAGAAAGATGTTGCTAAGAGCAAGGGGAAATCGAAGGTGAAAGACAACGAGGTTGCGCAGGAAGTTAAGAAGGATTCTCAGAGTGTAGAGAAGAAGCAGGTTGAAGGGAAAGTTCAGGAAATTAAGACTGTAGAGAAGCAGCAGATTGAAGCAAAGGTTCAGGAAGTTAAGAAGGATGATCAGGCTGTAGAGAAGAAGCAGCAGGTTGAAGGAAAGGCTGAGGAAATTAAGAAAGATGATCAGGCTGTGGAGAAGAAGCAAGTTGAAGGAAAGGTTCAGGAAATTAAGAAAGATGATCAGGCTGTGGAGAAGAAGCAAGTTGAAGGAAAGGTTCAGGAAATTAAGAAAGATGATCAGGCTATAGAGAAGCAGCAGGTTGAAGGAAAGGCTGAAGAAATTAAGAAAGATCAGGCTGTAGAGAAGCAGCAGGTTGAAGGAAAGGTTCAGGAAATTAAGAAGGATGATCAGGTTGACGAGAAGGCTAAACCACAAGAAATCGAGGCACCCGTGAAGATGGAAACCATTGAGAAAGATAAGGTAGAAGAGGTTTCTAAGAAGATTGAAGAACAAAAACAGCAGGAGGCAAAGGAGCAACCTGCGAGTGCAAAGAAAGGCAAGAAGTCGAAGAAAGGGAAGTTCGACAAGGAGCCGCCTAAGGAGGAAAGTAAAATGAAGCAGAAGGATGTCGGTGAATCATCTGTAGATGAGAAGAAAGTAGAGGCGAAAGAAGGAATTCTGTTAACGGATGTGAAGGAGCCTGACGTTAAGGATATTCAGGATGTTAAAGAGGTTAAAGAAGTCAAGGAAGAAGTTAAGGAGGTCAAGGAGACCAAGGAAATGAAGGATGGAGTAGGGCAAGAAATCAAAGAAGTGAAAGAAGCAGTTAAGAAAGACGCGAAAGAAGATGTTAAGCAAGAAATCAAGAAGGCCAAGGAGGTTAAGGAAGAGGTTAAGAAAGAAAAGAAGGTGAAGGGAGCGAAGGAAGAGACGAAAGATGAGAAGAAGGCTAAAATAGCGAAGGAAGAAATCAAGGAAGTAGAGGCAGACGTGAAAAAAGAAAAGGCTAAGGAGGTCAAGGAAGAAGTCAAGGAAGAGGTAGATGTAAAAGCAGAAAAAGTCAAAGAGGTCAAGGAAGAAATCAGGGAAGTTCAGAAAGAAGGAAAAGAAGTCAAAGAAGTCCAGAAAGAAGTCGAGAAAGTCAAGGAAGAAACGAAAAAAGAAATCAAAGAAGCCGACAAAGACAAAGAAATCAAGGAAAAAGTTAAAGAAGAATTAAAGGAAGAAATAAAAGAAACCATTAAACTTGAAGCTACTCCAGAAACACAACCAGAGAAACCAAAAGCTCCCGAGAAACGTAAAGGAAAATCGAAAAACAAGAGTGCAGATAAGACACCGGAAAAGATCAAAGAGCCTGCTGCACCTGAAACCAAGAAGGAAAAAGATGAAGTCCCTGAATCCAAAGCCGACACCGCTAAGGAGAAAACGGAGAGTCCGATAATCGAAATGAAACCTGAAAAGGAGGAAATGAAAATAGAATCGAGCGTTCAAGAGCTTGCATCCCCGCAAACTCCCGCAGAAGATAAAGTTGTCGATGATAAGGCAAGTCCAAAGGAAGATAAGAAGGAGGAAGAATCTCAGGTGGAAGGAAAAGGCAAACTGTCCAAGAAGGAAAAGAAGAAACAGAAAAGGAAAGACAAATCTTCGTCTCGAGGAGTCAGCGAAGAGAAGTTGAAAGAGAAAACGGAAACCATTGTACAAGAGACCGTTGCTGCTGACGAAAGTGCAATGAAAAATGAAGATGTAGGTAAAGAAGCTTCGAAGCCGGAAGAGAAACCAGAAGAAACATCAAAGAAAACTATCCCTGACACTGAAACTGTTAAAGAAGAGAAAATCGAAATGAAGAAAGTGACAGAAACCGAAAAAGTTAGTGCAACTCCTACCAGTGAAGAAATAAAACTTGTTCCCGACACCACGATTAATATAATCCCGGTAGAAGCTAAACCAGTTAAGAAAGAAACAAAGACGCCAGAACCGACAGAAGAGAAAGTGGAAGTGTCGAAGCCAACTAAAGATGCAATGGAATTATCGAAAGCAACTGAAGAAGCAAAAGCATCGGCAGTGACCGAAGAGAAAATAGAAAAATCAGAAACAGTCGAAGAGAGAACAGAACAATCTGCAACACAAGTGGATTCGGCAGTTGCTTCGAAAGAGAAGTCGAAGAAGAAGAACAAGCAGGCGAAGAAAGGCAAGCGCGAGGAACCAGAGTCTCCGAAACCTGTAGACGCCATTGCAGAAGATTCTGCAACGAAAGGTAAAGAAGAAGTCAAGGTTTCAAGCACAGTTGCTTCTCCTGTTATGCCTGAAACTATCTCACAGGAAATGATTCAGGAAGCAAAGACTGCAACCATTCCTGAGAAGAAACCAAAGAGTGCCGAGTCGCGAGACAGAAAGATCGAAGAACAGACGAAGGAAGTGTCAGAGACCAAGAAGAAAGATGAAGACACTGATATTGTAGTCAAGGATATTACAGACAGAAGAGAACCGACTGTCGAGGTTAAAGATAGTATTGTCATCGAAGAAAAGAAAGAAGAAACAATTCAAGACGCTAAGATGATCAAAGAGATTCCTAAAACAGCAGAACTTGTGAAAGAAGACACGAAGTCCAAGAAAATAGAAGTGAAAGATGAAGAAAAATTCAAAGATCCTCAAGATGTATCTAAAGGAAAACCAACCACAACTAAATCCCCAGATAAACCCACAGAAACACAAACCGAAACGAAAGCAGAAAGTCCTAAGAAAGAAGACGCGAAGTCCAAGAAAACAGAAGTGAAAAATAAAGAAGAAACAAAGAAAGAACGTCAAGATGTATCTGAAATGAC